GCGTTATGGATCAGGTTGTTATAGGTGTGTTAACGTATTTCGTTTGCTAGGTATTATGGATCTATAATAGTAAAGTAGAAAATAAAGTAATTTCTAAGCTAATCAAAAGTCAAGAATAGTCAAAATTTGACTTACACTGTGGGCCAAATTTATTTGGAACCCAATTTGGCTCTGAATAACTTTTTTTTTATTTGACGGATTTTTGTGAAATTTCATGTGTATATTACGGGGGCCTTTCCTTAATTGTAGAAAAAATATCAAATCAAAATATACAGGGGGAGCCAAGTAAGAAGCAGTATTTTGATTCGTTGCCTTTGGGGCTATTGCAAAATTAATTTTTTCACTCTAAAACTACATAAATTATTTGAAAATATTAAGAAATTATCGGAAAAGAGGCTATAAAAATTTTTTTCGAAAAATTTCAAGTTTTGCATTAAAAACGTATTTTTTTCGAAAACTGCTGAATAATATTACCATATAAAGGGTGTTCCAAAATTAATGCACGAAATTGTTACGGCATATTCTACGTCGAAAATAAGCCCCAGTTACCTATATAAACATATGTCCGGAAACGCTTCCTTTCCGAGATACAGGGTGTTGAAATTCTAAGAAAAAAACTATTTTTCTATCATAATTTCCAAACCACTCTAGATATTTCATTAGAATTTTGTCTGCTGCTTTCAAGCAGCAAAAGACATTTTTTGATGTGAAATTATTTTTTTTTTAAATTACCAGTGGCGTCCTACCAGATTTGTAAGGAATATTTTTTAAGAAAAAAATGGTGCGTCACTGCTTTTTTCTAAAATAAAAATCATTTTTCAAATCCCTATTCAATTTAGAACAAATTTGATCTCTTCACTTTTTTCCGAAAGATGCACTGTTTCAAAGTAAAAAAATAAAAAAACATTTTGATGCATGGCGAAATTGCCAAAATTATGATAAAAATGTTTAACATTAAAGACCTAAAGTTTTAAATTAGTTTTGTGACGTCACTGGTAATTTTTTTATTAAATATTCCACATCAGAAAATGTCTTTGGTTGCTTGAAACCAGTGTACAAAATTTCAAAGTGGTATGAATTATGATAAAAAATAGTTTTTTTTTTTAGAATTTCAACACTATGTATCTCGGAAAGGAAGCGTTTCCGGACATATGTTTATATAGGTAACTAGGGCTTATTTTCGACGTAGAATATGCCATAAAAATTTGGTGCATTAATTTCGGAACACCCTGTAATATGGTTTTATTGAATCACAAATTAACAGAGCGAAAATATGACAAAAAAAAGATTTTTCAATAATTTTTCAAGAACCTATTGTGAATATGACCTCCCTGATTATCTACAACAGCTTGGAGTTTTAGGCGCCATTGTCCAATATAGTCAAGAAATTATAAATGAGTCAACTGGACAATGGCGACGAAGACTCCAAACTGTTGTAGATGATCAGGGAGGTCATATTCACAATAGGTTCTTCAAAACTTATTGAAAAATCTTTTTTCTACTGACATTTCATAATACGCTATTAAACGATTAAAATCTGTATTATAATGAACTTCATTACGATACAGATTTTCATTATAATACTCATTTTTAATATTATACAATGTTGATAGATGGCAGCCTTAGTTAAGATATTAAACATTTTTAACGGTAATTTTGCGTAAAACAATTATTTTGATAACTATAAAAAATACTTCGAATTGTTTAAAAGTTACCTAAAGTTTGGGACAAAGAATAATTATTATGGAAATAATGAGTGATAAGGAAGAATTTTTACTTTTCTCATTATTATGCATTGTCAATAGATGGCGCCACCAGTTAAGAAATTTTGATTTTTTTTTTTTTTGAATGATGACAGCACTCTGTTTATAGCTTTTCCATGGTAATTTAGCGAAAAACAATAATTTCATGAAAAAAATACTTCGAATTGTTATTAAAAGTTACCTAATGTTTGGGATAAGGCATTATTATGGAAATATTGAGTGATAACGAAGAATTTTCACTAACACCTCCAGAAATTACAGAAAGGGCGACAAATGCAGGTAATAATATACTACCGGACAAGTCCAAGAAAATTTGCGAAAAATTATATGGACAATTTATGGATTGGAAACACCAAAAACACATCGTCCTTCTCAGAAAATGTTTTGATAGTATATTTTGAAGAATTACAACAAAAAATGAAACCTTCAACTGTATGGATTACTCAATTATAAAATCTCTATTCAAAGTTAAGCATAATGTTGACATATCTAAATATCATAAGTTTTATCAATGGCAGTAGAAAAAATAGTGTATGCAACTCTCAAGTAATGGCCATTAATACACTCGCATGTTATATACGAAACTCGCCTGCGGCTCGTTTCGTATCCTACAACATGCTCGTGTATTAATGACTATCATTACATGATCATTGCATAATATACTATTTTTTCATCATATTTTCCCTCTGATAATTTGTTATTCAATAAAACCCTATTACGCTGTATGATAATATTATTTTCATTCTCCCCCCTACGAAAATCCATTTTTTTATTTTGAATAGGCAAGCGAAAGCGAAAGTAAAACATGCTAGGTTATCGGTTGCTAAGTATGAAAAACTTTCGTGCCCTGGACGACGAAAAAATAAAAACGTCAACTTAGTAATGTCAAATATTTATTTAGACTGGAAATTAAATGTAAAATTGCAATTGTTGTATGCACAGTTGTATGTTCCTGAAAGATTTAACGGCAAATGTTGATTGAAATCCTGTTCCAAAGCAACGTCACTGAAAATGTTGACTTGTTTTTGGATTTGCGCAACATGATTATTGAGTCCTGTTTCTGAAGGTTTACTTTGCACCTTCCCTTATCGTGGACACATCTTTCGTTGTACACCATTTGATAAAATTTTCGCCAAATATTGAACTTGAAGAGACGTACTCATAAACTTTATATTGAAAAATGATACTTATTTAAAAACTGTCAAACACCTGTTAAAATATGTTTTTGTTGACACCGTTTTTCTTGTTGACATTAGAGAGTTTTCGTTGTATTGGCAAATTCGAACGGTTAACCATAACGAATACGAATACGAAGCCGCTATTTGACAGATCGCAAAAATAGTTTTCGTTCAATTCGCTTAACGTTAACGTTAAGTCGAATTCGACAAATGTAACATAACCTACCTTTAGTGGTTTGTTTATGTTTGACAAACATTGTTTGTATATGTTTTGTGCATGGAGGTTTTGTGCTACTGTTTTGCTACTTTTTTGCTTCGTTATAAATTCCAATTTTCTAGTACCAGTACTTACGCAAAATTTATCATGATTAACGAAATGTTGCTCTTATTGGACTCGTCCAGTGATTCAGATTCAGATTTAGATGATGCTCTTCTCTTGGAGGTGCTTGATCGCCAGGACATTCAATATCGAGCACAGTTATATGGAAATTTCAATTTAGATAACTATAATGATACTGAGTGTAAAAGTTATTTCCGATTTGAGAAAAATCACCTAAGAAGACTTACTGAAGCCCTTAGGATTCCTGAGAATGTTATTACAGAGAACAGCCATAATGTTTCTGGCTTGGAAGGGCTCTGCATTTTGTTGCGAAGATTGAGTTACCCTAGTAGGCTAGTTGATTTGGAAGTGTTTTTTGGGCGTTCACCTCCAGCCCTCTCAAACATCATTGACTTCATGACGCACCATATTTATGAAAATTTTGGACACCTACTGACTAATTTAAGGAATCTTCAGTGGTTAAACCAAGAACGTCTAAGGACGTATGCAAATGCCATTCACGAAAAAGGATCCCCCATACCCAACTGTTGGGGATTCATAGATGGTACCACTCGGGGGATTTGCAGACCGTCTGTGAATCAAGAAGCCTATTACTCCGGTCATAAGCGCCACCACTGTGTAAAATACCAAGCTGTTACATGTCCTGATGGGCTTGTAGTCAGTTTGAAAGGTGCATATGAGGGTAGAAAGCATGATGCTGGGATATTAAGAGAGTCCCAGCTCTATGACCAGTTAGAAGAGAGGACAAGGTTCCAAGAAGAATATTTTATATTGTATGGAGATAAAGCATATTGAATGCGCGAACTACTTATGTGTCCATATCCAATTCATATTGTTTTGGTAAGCAAGCAATCGATGTAACTGAAAATTCTTTGTGTTTATTGGATGTATCATTAATAAAAAAATGTTAAAAATTATTTTTGGGGATATGGTCAATATGAAAGAAAGGCTCTTTTTTTTCTTGTAAAGCTTTCGAAGTTTAGGTATTTAACTTCTTCAGTACGACTGAAAAAAATATGTAATAAAAATCAATGGATTCTTGAAAAAGCCAGTTCACAATAGTTCTTAAAATATGAATCTTGCATAAACATTCCCAAAAACGCTGAGGGATGTTTATACAAGATTTATAATTATTAAGAAACTTATTTTGAACTCGCTTTTGTGAGTATCTATCACTTTTATATTGTTTCCTATTATACATATAATTTTTTAATTGTACTGAAGAGGTTAAATAAACTTTGAAAGCTTTACCAGAAAAAAATAGTCTTTCTTTTATATTGGCCATAATATCCCCACAAACAATATATAGCTATAGAAATTTTCCTGAGTTTATTAATAAAAAATATATATTTTTATTTCTTATTGATGATAATATTATTTTGTATACCTTATACCTACTACTTTTTTTCAAAGTGGTGTACCTGAAAGTGTAAATTAGCAGATAAGTATATACTTATAAATAAAAAGTATGGAACACTGTCAACAAAATATTTATTTTTTCTTCTCAAAAACAAGAAAACATAATATACATCATATAAACCCGCTTGAAACCTATTTAATTTCATTGCAACTATAAATAATATGTAGTTGCAAAGTTTGAGCACTGCAAAACAATGACTAGCAGTAAACTGAAAATAAACTCCATTCGAAAATCCATTAAATAGATCATGAACATCTTATCACAAAAATAATACTACCCCGACTACAACTAAACTGAATATCAACTTTCTAAAAAAAAAAGAAACAGAAATAACAGAACATAAAATCAATATTAAAGAAAACAAGTGCCTACACAGTATGTCAATGTAAATAATGAGCATTGGTAATAATCAACTTTTTTAAAGTATCATTGAGAGGGGTTTTTTAAACTATGTGAATGTAATGTTTTTAGCAATAACAGTCTCCATCAAACCAGTCAGGAAAAGCTGCTGTTTTTCCAAAAGCTGCATCAGAGCTTTTCTCTCTTGTTTCTCCATTTCAAATTTCTCCTTTTCAAATTCTAACTTTTCCCTTTCCAATTGCAGTCTTTTTTCCTCTACTTCCAATTCTTTTTCTTTCAATGTCGTTTTTGATGAATTTTTTTCCTCCAAATATTCCATTGTCGATTTCTTAATGTTCCTCTGAGTAATACGGGCTTTCCTTTTTCGATTTGGGCCTGAAAAGAAAAAGTACATGTGAACTTGGATATTACAAATTATTTCAATATTGAAATGCATTAAGTACTTGTCTATTTATCACATTAGATATAAAGTAATTAGTTAGTTTAGTTATTGTGAAAACTAATCAAATAACCATAATATTAATAACTGTCCACACTATTTACCTTGAATATTTTTCTGAGCTTCTCCAATGACAGTTTGTTCACGTGTTGTCTCAGCTCGTGACTCAGATTCTGGTAGAATTTCTTTGTCTCTTGGATCTACCCCTAGTTCCTCAGCGGCGTTTCCTTGATATTCATCTATGAAAATAATAATAAAAAAACATCATGATCCTAAACAAATTCAGATTAAGTTACTTATGTAATATGTCAAAATGCAGGTCGAGAAATGTTAAAAATAAGGTTCAACCAAGGGTTCAACACTATTTTGAAAAGTTATCACATTTAAGTAGTTGTGACTTAAACATAGAACAAAGTTAAAAACATAACCAAAGGTTAAAAATGTTCATTCATTTAAAGAAAGGATCCCATCCACCCCAAGGGCTCGTGGAATAAACTTCCTTCTCATTTAACTCACTTGGTTTATAAATAACTATTATTTGAACATTTTTTGCCTACAAGATTTTTCACCTACTAAGTGAATTTGACTTACCTACTATAAATTCATACTCGATGGAATTTTGGGGAGAATCTAAACAAACTGTTTCTACAGGCTCTACCAATTTCCTGGCAAAATCGTCCCTTAAAGCCCTTTGCATTTTCTGATGATTTACTTATAATTTTCAATTTTTCCTTTTTATTCAAAATTGAATTTATGAGATCCAGAACTTCCTGTAGCAACTGATCGATTCGATTATAGGGTTCTTCAACTCCAGATCTGAAAATATAAAAAAAATATATGTACAGGATTCAACAGTTTGTGTTGAATGACAAGAAAAGATGAACACTATGTAGTGGAAAAGATTGCATTAGCAAAATAAATGGCAAATAAACATATGCAAATAAAATATACTCACCGATATAGGTTTTCTTTTTCTTTCTTTTCGAATTTATTTATGATGTAAGTTATATGTTCCCTAACCCCTCTCAATGATACTTCTTTTCCTGTGGTTCTTACAAAATTGGCTACTACCAAGGCCTATTTGGATACATCGCCATATGGATTGTTGGCTAATATTTCCTCTAACAAAATGATGTCATCCTCATCCGTAAATCGATTTCTTGATCTTTTTAGGGAATTTAATGCTGAGTCCATTTCGTTTCGACCCAAACCAAAAACATTTAATTACAAAAACAAAAAACAAACAACAAACCACAACAAAAAAATAGGGTTATGCTGACTGCATCTACCAAAAAAAATGGAAAACGCCTACATTCCGTTTTCGCTGTGGTTTTGTCTTCCGTCCGTTAGCTCCCGGCACTTATCGGTAACGATAACGATAAATGACAACTCAAATGTCATAGTTGTCAAATAGCGGCTATCGGAATCGCTTTTAGAAGACAACGAAAACTCTCTAGTTACCAAAGTAACGGTAACGTTAACAACACACTACTATAGCCGTGTTCGTTTTTGTCATCTTTTTTGTTGATTTACTCCAAAATTTTGACAGGCACGTGATTTGTAAATTAACACTATCCGATTTAGTCACGTGCCTGTCAAAATTTCAGAGCAAATCGACGAAAAAGATGAAAAAAACGAACACGGCCACTGTCGTCCAAACTGTGGTTGTTCTACATTTTTTTCAGTGGCGGCTGCAAAAAACTGAATATTTTTTTTTTGTTGGTGAAGTGGCACTTCATCTAATGCACCTAAATAGCCGCCACTGCTGTATTGTTATGACAATAAACCGCTTTTTCAGCATCTGTAAATTGTGTGTTTTACATAAAATCGGGGGAAGAATGAAAAGTTTAATACATTACACGCTGCAAAAGCCCTTTTAGGTGCTCGGAGGTATTCAAATAGCCTCGGCTGCGCTTCGCTTCGCCTCGGCTATTTGAATACACCTCGCACCTAAAAGTACGCTTTCGCAGCTTGGAATGTAAATAACTATTAACAAAGTTTTCGAAAAAAATGCTTTTTCAATACAAAACCTGAAGTTTTTCGAAACATTTTTTTATAGCCTTTTTTCCGATAATTTCTCAATATTCTCGAAAAATTTATGTAGTTTTAGAGTGAAAAATTTAATTTTGCAACAGCCCCAAAGGCAACGAATCAAAATACTGCTTCTTACTTGGCTCCCCCTGTATATTTTGATTAAATATTTTTTTTACAATTAAGAAAAGGCCCCCCTAATAATCACATAAAATTTCACAAAAATACGCCAAATAAAAAAAAAGTTTTTCAGAGCCAAATTGGGTTCCAAATACATTTAGCCCACAGAAATATTAAAATGAATTTTTTGACTAATTCAAGGCTCAAGATTTGGATACTTTGGCATGATTTGATTGCTTGGTTTCTATCCCAATCAAGAGCCTGGAATAGTCAACTTTTTTAATTATATTAAATATCCAATAGAAACTAAAACAAAACTCAAAGACAAAGTCTCATAGAGAACCATGGACTATTTCTTTATACATAATTTTTTATACTATACTCGGTTCTTCAAATTCCTAATAAGTCGATCAAAGAAAATCGAAAAATGTCAACCATTTTGACATCTGTCGAAACCCTACCAAACGGCAGCACACAGAATCTGACATTAGCTTTAATTGAAAAAATAACTGAACAATTATACAAGTTATGCTTTATTATGAAGCATAAAAAAACTTTATACACAGGTTTCAGATTTTGACAGCTGCCAAAATTTGATGTCGATGTGCTTTGTTCAATGTTTGATCACCTTCAAACGAAAAAGAGCCAAATTGGAATTTTTTTTTTTTACTAAAACAAATGACAGGTTTTGACAGTTCTCTAATTTTTTTTTTTCCATTTGAACTCGAAATTTACAAATTGGAAACTTTTAAATGACACATGATGAAATATTGAAAACTGGAAAATATGAGTGCTGCCGTTTGGCAAAGTTTTGACAGATGTCAAAATGGTTGCCATTTTCCGATTTTCCTTGATCGACTCATTAGGAATTGATACTTGCTTTATCAAGATCTGCCAAAGTTACCCTATTTTTGAATATTAACTGATACCGCCTCACCTGTCATATACATCTACAAGGTTGCGCCCATGGTAAAAAATGTTGCTTACGGCATTTCTAATAACATATTAAAATTTCATCCAAATATCACGGGTAACCAATTTCCGTTAAAATATTGCGGTCTCCTTTGACTCAAAAATATTCAAATGTGGTACCTATTTGACTATTATTTAAGGCTTAAGATTTGGATACTTTGGTATGATTTGATTAATTGAGTTGTTTCTAACCCAATCAAGAGCCAGGAATAATCAAAATTTCAAATTATGAATATCCAAATTCAACTTTTGACTTTTTCCGGTTCTTGATTGTGATATTTTCGTTTGATTCGATTGATTGAATTGTTTCTATCCTAATCACTTCCTACTTCCAAGGATCATACAGGTTTGGTAAGTCAACAATGCTAGCCGGTGTTGCCGTTCCATAGAATATTTCACCGTGTATGATTAGGGATAGTTAAGCATCGTGCATTTTTGTCATGTAACCCTGATCATTTGGCAATGTTGTTTACAGCATTCCCCTCTCACAAGAAAGCGTTTTCTTGGGTCCTCGGGCCGGTGGACGGGAAATCTGCTAGAGCACGCTTTTTCTCTGTCCTTATTCCACTGAGTCCTTTACCATTCAAATTGCCATTTCTTTCTATGGCATTGGAAATCTCCGCATGTGAGACGTTCCACTGCCGTCCGTGTATACAAGAATTTAAGAACTAGAGGAAAACCTTTAGAAGATAGGAAAGCTTTGAGAAGAAATACCGGAATTTTCGGAAAAAGCAATGAATAAGAGGAAAAATAATAAAGACTCAATACCAAAATCCTCAGGAAGAGTGACCAAAATCCATTGAACTGAAGGATTCAACATCAATTAGCTTCAAAAAAGGGCTTGAATTAGCTCTTGAAGAACTAACAGCAAAATTACCAGAAACTTCAAATGGGAGAACAGCTTTGGAAACCAATAAGCTCCAGAAGTAAGTAGAACTAAGAAGCCATACAAAAAGATCCTCTTCAAGCTCTACATACTAATTCAGATAACTATGAAACATTTTTGAGACAATTACTGATGAGTCTGGACTTCTCCAAATCCATCTTCTGTTTAGTAGCTTCTGTAATATTCATTTTAAAGGTAATTTAATAGATTTTGAGTCGCAGAGTCTTCCTGATTTCTAATATTATCAATTCTGGGCATAGTGCTGAAAATTTCTCAAGGATACATTTCAAGTAAGCGAACCAGAGCCTGTCTATTTCTGAGGTGAGCTTCAACAATGTTAGACATACTATAGATAAGATTCAAAATAAAAAATTTCAATGGACATTTATAATATCAATATTTACCTGAGTAAGAAGTTCAAGGATTAAACTAATAATAGAATCTTTGTATGGTGTATAACCAGTCTATTTTTCCTTTCCGGCATGTTTGATTTTTACTTACTTTATGCCAGTCTTCAAAAATCTCCATATTCACATTCAAACTCTGGGAAAATCTTGCTTAAGGCCCAAATTTGTAACAATTTTGGTTATTCAAATAACAAATCGTCCATACTTTGTCTAGCTATGCACAGAGGGCTTTTAGCTTGGTATAAAAGAGGCGCCACTAAATTATGTACAACTAATTTGAAAATTTCGAATTCGACACAATTTAAATCTTTGAAATTATTTATTATTGAAAGTTCTTTAACTTTTTTCAAGATTTTCCCAGCATTAGTTTCCTAGGGTAGGTAATTATCAATATTGGAAAATACCGTCACGTACCTAGGTATTAAAGAGAACTGATGTTAAATTCTTGGTTATAACGTCGAACAGAAATCGATTCAGTAGAACAATACATGACTTTACACTTGAAATTTTTGAGCAAATCGCTCATCGATCAATTTTTCCACCCAAATATCGATTAAGTCTCATAGCTAGTTATTTTCTACTTAGAAATCTGGATTCGAAGGAATATAATTTCTGGATTTCAATCCAAGAAATTTTGAAAGCTAATTCGAAAAGTGGCAACCATGTCAAACCAATAAACTCTGGATAAGTTATCAAAGCTTTTCCAGTGAAACGATATCCGGGAGTCGATCCATCGGGATATCGGACTTTGCGGCATGCATTCACCCACACCCAGAGAAGCCCGAGCCTAACGAAGCCAATCGGGGTGCTCGATTTTCTATGGCTGGCGCGGTCGGTAAAATAATAATTATAAAATTGCGTGCCTAATGAGGATCAATGGCTCATTATATAACGACGGACTAATTGGTAATTTAATGTCGGACGTAAAAAAAAAAATCACCTCAACTGTTGACTATAAGGGAAAAACGACGTCATTGTTTTGCTGTATACTAGAAAAAGATAAGCGCACTTGAGGCCATTTTTGTTTTAAGACAATAATAAGATGTTTTTAAACTTGAGACAATCTTGAAGGAACAATGGCTGGCATTTATGAAAAAATCCTTGCAACATAGATATCTGTTAAGTGTATTTTTGCTCTAGTATGTAATTTGGAATTTCATTTGGAGCTCGCCAGGTCGCAAATCAGGAAAAGGGTAATTTCGAGGACTCGCCTAAATTAATACCGTTATGCCGCCTGATGCTCCACAGCAGAAACTACGTTAACTTTATTACACGTTAACG